GGGATGTTTTTATCAAGAAAAACTATTGTGGATTTTTCAGTAATCGTGTTTATTTTGAACATTTTTACTTCACGATCGTTGTTTGGAGATCTAGATAAATATACCTAAAAGTCAAATTGGGCTCTTCATTTTCTTTTCAACAGAAGATTACTTTTTTTATTTTAGATTTTATTATTCAAAGAAAGTTAACAATAAACTTCATAAACAACACATTCATATTTTCTAACTCTTATATCATATTTACACTGTCGTTCAATAGTTTATTCAGTTGCTTCGCTTGCTTCTTCTCACGCTGGCGAATAACCACAACTTAGAAAATAGAGAAAATCTTATTCTGTTCCAAAAAAAAAAATAACTGTCGTCAGTATAAAAATAAAAATTTAACCCTAATTGGACATGAGTTTTGAGAGTTGAGGCCAAGTAAATAAACTACCATAAGCAGCGCCAACAAGTAAGTTGACCTATGGGTTTTAATTTGTTAACATAAAACTTTAGACAGTGATGTTTAGATTTTTCAGGTATCAAATAAAAAAATTAAGCGAAACGAAATGACGAACCCAACTCGTATTTTGTGTGTCACAATTAGCATATTTCTTTCGGCATATATTGCAATACTACGAGCTTGTGTGTTCGGGAGGGTATCCAATATATGATGATGATTGAACAACAATGTTCTCAGTATATTTTCAAGCCTACTAATTTTACCGACTATACTTTTAGTACCATTTATAAAGAGCCTTTTGTCGTTAACTGGGCACAAATATTTCTAAATAAATGAAATATTATATTCTACATACATATAAATCAATAACACCCATACACAAAACGAATGAGCACTCTACATACTCGTATAATGGAGACCACACGTCGACATACTAGTGAGTGACGCCTCTAAGAGTCACTAGTCTCTGTTGCAGATCTCTGTGACAGTATTACAATACAATATCCATACGAGTTTTCATCCCCTAACTTGCTCACTGTGTGTTTATAACTTTTTCACGGCCACATTTAAGCCTTCAGTTTTTAGTGCTGTATGTTGAACATAGACAACAACGTACATAGTTAGTGGGCGATGTGATTCTCGAGGTCACTAAGTGCCACTGTTTAGTTTCTGGTAAAGGATAATACTATGTAAATTTTATTTTTATAACTAATTGGTGTAAACTCTTCGGGATGCAGAGCAGATTAAGTTTCATAATCTCTTATTATTATTATTTAAATTACAGAGCTATAAGCATATAACAGAGCACAAATGCATTAAATAAATTAACGCAGTTATTAAAACAGCCACAAAAATAGTCTACAAGAAAAGCATCTGTACTGTCACGAAAAATTTGATTATTTTATCGATTGAGCGTAAACACGAGAAAAGCATTGTATGCAATAACATAAGTTACGTTTTTGTTCAATTCGCAATCTAACGTATTTATTTCTAAGAACCTAAAATCTAATAAGAGTCTTGCAACTTTATCTTATCGAATAACAGAACATAAATAGATCAGAGAAAAATAAGCCGAGGGTTTACACTTTGCCATGTTATAGGGATGAGAGAATGTATATGCAAAATGCGAATCGAATTATATTTTCGAATATGCCCCGGTCCCTTTGTAGACGGGTAATACGTCTCCAAAGTTTCATATAAGATAATATTGATTAGACTATAAATATTCTATATATTTGGTTTAATGACTAATGGTTTTAGATACCTTGCTTTAAACATAATAAAATTATATCTGCTTAATATTATATTACAATAAATATTTTTTAGATTATGATAATATTCCAAAGGCACATATGAAATTAAATAATGACAAATAGTTATTTGACTTCTTTCAAAATATTTGCAAGTTACAAATTTTGTAATAATTCCTCTTTCGAACAAAATGTTTTGATAGTGGTTGCCGATGAATATAGCAGTCCGAACAAGCAAGTATGAATTATGCCCTGTTTTGCAGCTTTTACATGCATTTCCACTTTTAATGCAGGCTTTCATACAGTCGTAAATCTTGGAGGTAGAACGGCCAGTCTGTGATATCAAACATAAAATGGGAGTCACATACGGCTAGTTACGTAGAATAGGGACAGCGTAAACGTGCGTGAGGTCAAGAATTCGATACCTTTCTCTATATAAACCTAATAAAATACTACAATAAAACCACTAGCATACGTTCTAGGGTACGCATTAAAAGAAATTTGTCATGAAATTCCATTTACATTACATGTTTTTTACGCAAAAAATAGACAAATTCAAACACTATTGGACTTAAAAAGAAAATTGTGAGCAAAACACTGTTACTATCGATGGTAACAATGATAATCCCTAAAATCCCTGGTTCTTGACGAACCCCTGGCCATCTACGACTTTTACATGACCCCTAGTGTATGTTTATTTTAATTCTACAACTCATCAGCGCCTTGCACCGCCAACTTGGCTTGATTCTGTTAGGGTGAGAGATGGCCTCACCTCTCACGCCCTTGCCTGCGCTTTTGGAGGACGAAGTTAGTTCTCCGATCTCCGGTGCCTAAGGCGTCTGCGTAACCTAATACTATCTTGGTCCCGTTCCGACGTCTACTTTGCAAGCATAACTTGCTCACAGAAGGAGACGGAGGAGTTCCAGGCGCTCTAGCTCCGTACTATCGCCGCAATCATGGTACTAAGCGAGATAATTGCCACTCTGATGGCTGGCACGAGGTTACGCCTCGTGCCAGCCATCAGACGAGAGCGCGAGAGCCATCACGGGCATTCTGCCAGCGTGTCGAGCGCCGTGTCCATAGTCCGGCCATGGACATGGTATATGTATTAGGTTTTTACCTATGAAGTTGGAGACCTATATGAAAATTTTAAAATTGACCAATTTTGATTATTTTTTAATTTAGCTAATCAAAGTACTGGCCAAAATAATCTATACAATTTTGTAATTTTGATAGCAATTTGTTTATCCTTTTACTGTAGAAGTCTGCTGAGACGGGAAGCGATGAAGTTAGCGAAACTCTCGGGTGTCGAATTCTTCCCCAATAGTTTTAGAAAGCTGAAACTTCAAAAGTAAAGACCTTTTTATTTTTTCTTTAGCGAAATCCCCTCGCATACCACCCACCGGTAGGATGGTTATATAAGTGTTACCTGTTATTTATAGTGAGGTTTTTAAGGATAAAACTCGTAAGGTTTTTAAGGATACAAGTAAGTGTGTAATGTCTCTGCCTTCCACTAAGGGAGAAAGCGATATTTGACTAACAATAGAATTCGAAGCGTAGTGTTACTCGACTACTCTTCATCGTATCTATCTTTGCTCTGATTATTTTGAGTTCATTTACATTTTGTTTAGGTTTTACAAAACTTTATTTTATAACCGTAATGAATCTTAATCTATACAAATAAATAAAATTGAGGTGTCTGTTTGTAATGTCAAAATGATAGGTGTTTTCACGCTCACGATTATTGTCACGATACCTATATTCTATACAAATCATGTTATTTGCACGACACCTATGCCTAAAAAACACTTTAAATACTTTTAGTCTGTCTATCTGTCTGCAGGTACCGGGTAATCTTCAAAACGGCTAGTCCGATTTTGATAATATTTTACTACGAGGTAGCTGTATATATAAGAAGTAGACCGTTAGCTTTCTGACACATTTATTTCTCAACAATTCTATTCTTAAATTTTCATCTTTAAATATCTCATGTCGACCTATCAGAAAAGAAACTAAATAAAACAATTCGCACTACTTCCTAAACGTATAGTAATGATGTCCGCTAACCCCGCGAGAATAACGAACTTACAATTTTGAAAAGTTTAGAGTCTAAAGTGGTAAATATAAGAGCTTTACCCTTATCAATACTGAAATGTGTTAAATTAAGTCAGCTCTTAGTTCAGTTCGTAGAATCGTTAGGTACACTATTGTGATAACTGTCGAATTATTATGAAGATAATGATTACACCTACATGTTTAGTATAGGTACTTTATACATATAAACATTTCATAGAGTGCCATCTGCCTACAGTAAAAGATGAATTAGAACTACCATTTTTTTTTCTTCTGCACTACGACACCTCTGAAAATTTATTAAAAACGAATATTTATTTTCGTTAATACTTAACGAAAATAAATATTCATTTTATATTACACTTTATAATTGAATACAGCTATTTTAAGTTATGAAACATGAAACGAATGAATGAAATAAAATAAAATTTAGAACACATAAATGACAAGAGATATTTTTGACAAGAGTGTCAACTAACGAGTTGGTTACGATAAGAGCGTGCCGCGTCGAGACTATATTAATTTTTTTTTGAAAATTTAACAAATCAACATAAACCATACAAAGTAAGTTGCAAAATGTACCAAAAAAAAAAAATCGTATTTTCTGGAAGGTGTCCCTCACTAAGCTTCGAAATCACTCAGCCGATATGTCCAATCCAAAAAGTCTAAATATGAATAGAAAAGGTAATCTGAGAATTAATTTCAGACCCTTGTCATTTCCATTGTACCTTAAATACGAGCAACAGTACTGTCATAAACTTGTTTGTGACTGACACAATACCATGACAGACGAATAGACACATATAAAACATCGGTTCTTTTGCACATACAAAATAGAAATTGAACTTATTTATGTACCTTCTACATTTGACAGCTGACAGTTGTCGTGTGCTTGTTTTTCGTACCTTTTAGTTGTTTATGTTTATTAGTTGCTTTATATTAAATATAAATATTAGTTAGTCATATAAGTTTGTTGCACTAGGCACTAAAAACATTTTCAAATTATATTTTAATTCAAATAAACAACTTCTTTACCTTTAAGTCATATATGCTTCAGTATATCACTTTTGCCATGCGGGCCTTAAGTAAGCAAAGTAAGCTTTCTTTAAGTAAAACAATACAAGTTGATTATTAACCCAGATTTCTACGAACGACACGAACGACTACTAGTTCTATGGAATATATCGTTGGATAGTTTACAAAGGAAATGTGTAAGACTATGTCATTTTTTGCAGGCGGTGGTGGTGCACAGCTGAGTGAAGAAAACTGCGATGCTGGGGACTTGAAAATATGCGTAAGCTTAATTCCACGAACACCTGTTGGTCTACCGAAGAACAGACATGAACTAGATGCACATTGCCAGTGAGTGTTAATTTAGTCAGACTGCGCTTGTAATTGTTTTCAAAGAAGTAGTAACGATTTCATATATTTTTGTTCTTTTCGTTTTTCTTGTGTGTTTCTAAGACCAAATTGGCCTTAGTCCACAAAAGATACTTAATCGCACATTTAAATTTATTTAGTCTGTGTTAGGCACTCATATTAATATTAAAACAACGAAAGTTTCTCTTTATGTGGTAAACTGCGGAACCACGGGCAAAGAGGGTGAAATATGAGTGAAAGTTGCCATTTGTATAGTGGTTATTTATGTACATTTGTTATGGATTATCAATTGGTGGTCAAATATCAAATGGTTTGTTTACAAATCTTAGATCATTAAAAGTGGTTTGTTAATATATCGTTCATAACACGTAAGCTTTTGAAGTTGTCGTGGAAAGGTTATTATATTAGTGATAATATTTGGAATGTGTACGAGCGTGCTTTAATTTGTAATCTAATTCTATCGTATACAGCTACGATAAACTTCCTTTAATTGCTATGTAATCCACAACTACACATATTGCAAGTTACCTGTGCGCTGTCGAGGTAGTGATTTTTTATTTATAATTAAATATTTTCTCAATATCTACTCTAAATAATATGGTGAACATACAACATGTGTATCGTATTATGCATATTTAAAACCTTATTTATAAAAGTACATAAAAAACTGTTAAGTACGCTTCAAAAACCCAAAAAAATCTGCATCGATTGAGCTCAGGTGTTTACACGATATACACGCCGGACACTGGTTCACTTTTGCTCCTCATTTCTCATCAATGCAACTACAATGTGCCAATGGTACAGCTAGTGTGTAATATATTAGATGGTTGGTTCTTAGCAGGGCCGCTGCTAGCTATATGAGCGCCTGCGTGCAATGCTGACGAAACCGCCCTTTTTTCTGAAACGCTCTTCCCGAGGAAATCAGAATGGCACCCAGACGTCATTCGTTTAAGGCCAAAGTGAGAGCTCTCCTCACACACAAAGAAGCTACATCATCATTGGATTAATCCCTAATATATATTTTACGAATTCTGTAAATGTATGTATAAATTAGTTGTACAAATCTATATATGTGTAGGTATATGTATGTTTGTAAGAAAGCTTTAATGGCATTCATCACTTTTTCTACCCGCATTTTTTTTACGTATCCTTTTGTGTATGTTTTTCTTAGTTAAGTATTGTTATTGAGTTTAGTGCAACTAATCACTTTTTTCTACACCACCCCAAAGTAGACAGGCAGAGAATGCGTACGGCATTAAGTCCACCTTCGTATATATGTATGTTTTTTTTTGTATTAAATAAAATAAAAAAATCAAAAAAATAATTGCTTAGCAATGGTTATCTGTGAGGCAGTGGCATCACTCCGGCCAAGCCCGCCCATTTGTGCCGAAACATGGCTCTCCCACGGCAGAATGTTTTTTCTTCAACGTATCAGTTCATATTGTGATAAAATAAACACAAAACTAACAAATAATATGTCCTATAGTTTATAAAACTTAATAGGTAACTGACAACTTGATTTAATTTAGCTACCAAAACTAATTAGTTCTGTTTTGAACTTGGCTCTTAAATTTATAAAGACTGGTACTATGCATGTCTATTTGTTTGCCGAACATATTATAAAGTCTACTTAGTCTTGGTATGGTAGAGTAAAAGCCGAGAACCGTTTTACCTGGTAGTGGGTACAGTAGATTGATAGGATTTCGGGGATACTTAGGAGAGACATTAAAATTTATTCTAGACTAGCTGAGAGGTGTTACCCGCGTTTGTTGTTATAACCGCGGGCAACGTCGCGGGGCGAAGCTAATCTAAAAAAGTAGCCTAAGATACTCCTTATGTCATCAGCTATCTGCCAGTGAAAGTCCCGTCGAAATCGGTCCAGCCGTTCCAGAGATTACCCGGAACAAACAGACAGACAGACAAAAATGATAAAAAATGTTATTTTGGCATATGTACCGTGTAAACATACATATGCATTTAGTAAAAAGCGGTTATTTTAATATCACAAACAGACACTCCAATTTTATTTATTTGTATAGAAGATAATAATTAGGTATAAAAAAATTAGGTCGAGTGATTCTCCACGTGTTTCGAGCGATATTATATTAAAAGTTTGTAAACGCTCAGTGTACCTTTTTGAGATACGAGTGGAATAAGCTAGATGATGCAAAAACCTTTTTTGAATGCGTTCTATTCTAACACTATGCGTAGCATAGTGCGGCCGCCAAACGACCAAACAGTATTCGAGAGAGAGAGAGAAAACAGTTGTACAATAATGTTTTAGTTTTTTGGTTGTTGAAAGGTTTTGGAAAGGTTTTATTGCATTCTGTATTGTATTGTTCAAAACTTCTTATTATTTCCATTAAAGTTTCTTGTTCTTAATTTTATAAAGCTTTTGAAATACTTTTGTATAGTTACATAATATACATTCCTATCCACGTTGAAATTTTTGAAAGAGCAACTTTTTTATTTATAAACAAACTTATCATAAAATAATTTAATTTGATAACGAAAAATTTTTAACAACTTTTTAACTTTAACTATGTCTACTGTCATAATTGCAGACTGTCTTAGGAGATCACAGAAGACAATTATGAAAGTATCGGTTGAGAAAAAATGAGACCTAACTCAAGCCATGTAAGATCTAAAATATGTATGCTGATAAATAAATTATAGTCACTTTTTATGGATTTACTTTTTTGTTTTTACTAACAAAAAATGTTACTAAACAATTTAGATCTGCCACAATAATTGTGTTTTTTTTTTGTTCTAGCGCCTACCAGACAGGGATGACATGTATGGACGCATGGATCAAACGGTGCTTACCTACGGACGGGCAGAAATTGCTACAACAACAAATAGGGGGAGCTCGTGCACTGATGCGATTTCTGTGCACAAATGATACTGCTCTTCGAAGAGGTTGGAATAAGTCAAATTTTAAATTATTGTCATAACGAATACGACTACATTTTCATTTCATTTAGAAAGGGCAACTTCCGCATTAAGAATATAATTATCCTGTGTCGCGGAAGACTTTCAAACATACGTGAAACAGACACAAAAATTTAATTTGTGGATCACACAAAGTGTTGTTCACAGAAATCGTAATAATAAGATACTAGAAATTAATTAGCGCCCGATTACTTCTAAAACCGATGTCGCCACATCTGAATACCTACACAAAATACAAACAAATAGATATAAGACTCACACACACTTGCAAAACCCCGGTAAAAGTTGCAAAATGGGTACATTGCACCATGGCTTTGCAACTTTTATGGCAGAAACTATTATGCACCTTAATCTCGAGTAATTACATTGCATTATACTCCAATGTATTGTGGCACCACTATGACTATCTTTCGATGTGTGAGAATCCCTGTAAAGAATGCTAGGGATCGACAATTTTTTTCGAAGGCTTCGATATTTTTTTCATATATTAAAATGGATAACAAGTAGCAATAAAAACCATAAAAATATACTTTTTTTATATTTTAACAGTTTTTCTTTTTTTTTTCTATTGAAATGGTACCTTTTATTTAAAGTCAAGGTATCCATTAACAGTCAAATACTTTATTAATCCAGGTTACAGCGTACACTTTTGAAACAATTAAAATTACAAAATTTCTAATAAAAAAAGTTAAAACTTAAACAAATAATTAAATTGCTAATAAATTTTTGTACTATTCTTTCAAGAAAGTACCGGGTAAAGATCAATAATACACAAAATGTTTGTTATTCATCCAAATTTATTTTATCACCTTCAAAGTATGCTCCTTCAGAAACGATACACTCACGCCAACTAATAATTCAATCATCAAAACATTTTTTAAACGTTGTTTCTTGAATTGAGTTCAGTTCTCGGCGCGAATTCTCCTTTATGTCTTCTACCAATTAGAAACGGGTGCCACGAAGTGGTAATTTGAGTTTAGGAAAAAGAAAAAAGTCGGCTGGAGCCATATCTGGTGAATATGGTGGTTGCTCGATGGTGTTTGTTGAGTGTTTGGTCAAAAATTCGTTCACAATGATAACCTTGTGCGAAGGCACATTATCGTGGTGCAAAATCCAAGAATTTTCTTGCCACGAATCTGGCCTTTTTCGTCGAATTTGCTCTCTTAATATTAATCTCTAATAATCTCTAATAATATTCTTTATTAATAGTTTGACCTTCCGGCAAGAATTCCGAGTGCACAACACCGCGATAGTCAAAGAAAATAGTCAACATGACTTTGACTTTCGATCGACTTTGGCGTGATTTTTTCGGTTTCGGTTCAGTTGGAAGGCGCCACTCCGAAGCTTGTTGACTAGTTTGCATGTCAAACTCATAAACCCACGTCTTGTCACCAGTAACAATGCGTTTCATGAATGTTGGGTTGGAATTGACTCGTTCTAGCATGTCCTCAGCGACTGTCATGCGATTGAGTTTTTGGAGAAAATTCAGGTCTTTTGGAACAAGCCGAGCGGTAACATGTTTCATACCCAAAGGATTAGTTAAAATGGTAGGGATCGACTCGTGAGATACAAAAAGTTCGGCGGCTATCTCTCTCAAAGTTGAATGGGATTTTCAGTCACTATTTCCTTCACTTTTGCGATGTTAACTTCAGTTGCAGACGTTGATGGCCTACCAGTTCGATGCGAATCTTCCATCACATCTCGACCGCTATTTAACGCTTTGTTTTTGATCGTTGGTTCACCGTAAGCCTTCTGTAACATTTTCAGTGACTCCGAACACGAAATTCCATTGGCGATGAAAAGTTTAAGACAAACTCTCTGTTCGATGTTTTTCTCCATTATGAAATTCGCAATACACACTAGATATGATATAACTCAAAACAGCACTGTATTTAACAGATGCAACTCAAATTCTCTTATTTCTCCATTTTCATACAGTTACATACGTATTACACATAGAAACACTTATACCATTTCACATTTACATATTCATGAACACAAATATTTGCACTGAGCAGGAATGAAATCGACCATTTACATCACAATCTAATGCTCTACGCCTCGCCGCGTAGACCGTTATCATGATACTGTAGATGATTACTCTTAATAATAACACTTTTATTACATTTCATTTTTTCCTAACGACTTGATATTGTTTATACAGAATTTCTGAAGGAGCCTACATGTTGGGGGCGAATTTCCCCCGATTGGACCAACTGCGTCAACGAGTTACAAGTGGCTGTAAGGGAGAGTACAGATCGAGCTCAACAACTCACGTACTTCAATAAGAACGCGGAATTATGCTGGTAACTAACTTTGTTAAACTTACAACTAAATTCCTACCATGATAGATGAATGAAAGCAGTATATATATAGAATATCTGTCACGCTGTCAAACGTGACAGTTCGTTATTTGATATTATTGGACTAGTACGTTTGAAACTCGTGAATTTGTACTTCAATTTCTCTCTTTCTTCGCTACTTGTGTTCAGAGACAAATTTGAAATAATTAGTGTAGAATTTTTTCATTACGATTTTTCAAACATCATATATTCTTTATGTGGCTCTCAAAGCAATTGTCTACAATGATTGAATAGTATCTTTTTATTGTATTTGTATAGTTTATTTCTTTAAACATAACATCAATTATGTAACCTGGTTGGGTAGCTTCATCAGCAGCTTTTATTGTCTACTGCTGGACATTGGCCTCTCCTTAAAAAGGAGGTTTTGGCCTACTATACCAGGCGGACCAGACGAGTTGTATAGAAAAAAGGGTTTGATTCAGGTTTTCCTTCTCTTTGCAGTGCTGTTGTCTTGCGTAGTTTGTTCCCTTAGTCGGCTCTTACGATATCCACGAGATGTGTAGGGGTGGTGATACTTCTTATTCGTAATCCGTCACCACACGGATAAAATCGGACCTTCTGATCCGTGTTAATTTTTCCCTCCGACACTATAGAGTCAACCTAACCTAACAAGGCATCAATGCTTGACATTCATTTCTGGATTTCCGGCGTCTGTATTACCTCGCTAGGTGAGGGCGGCTCTTCAACAATGAGCTGATGTTGCTGTGTTGGTGTCGGTGGAGGGCTCGTCCGTATTAACTGACTACGGCCAAACGGGCTTGATCCTAGGTTAGACATAGGTACTAACACAGATAAACTGTTCATAACTATGTTCATAAGTCAAAGATTCCTTTAAATCATATTTAATACACAGTCTGCAAGCAATAGGCATAAATTACTCTCGCTCGTGATACACATAGCAAAAACTACTTACGCCATATAATAATTATTCATTAGAAATTACATATGATTTCTATCTTCTTCATTTTGTCGGAAACAAAAAACACATCTGCTTAGTCAAGCGGTCTGAATACTTAACCAATTAATACCTTTCAATATTGAAAGTAGGTATTGCACTTTAACAATTTTGAGAAAAATAAACCTTATCCTGTGCGTGTCGAAAGAGTCGACTAAGGGAGCAAACCACGCATAACAATAGCACTGTAAAGGGAAGGAAAACTTGATACAAGCCTTACACCAACCCGCCTGACCAGCGTAGTATAGTAGGCTAAAACCTCATTTTTAAAGAGAGGCCTATGTCCAGCAGTGAACTATTAAAGGCCGTTGAGGTTGATCATTCATGATTATATATTGTTTATTTGTGTATGGCAAAAAATAATTAAACTTCGCCACATTGCAATTTTCTTTAAGCTATTTTTATTGAATTACGTACATGAACTTTTCAGATTGTTTTGATTACTCAATAATGTATAGTTAAACCGAAGTAAGCTTGGCCCTCCTGATGGTTTGCGGGACGCGGGGCGGGTGATGCGCTCGGCTATACATGACACGATGTACTAACTCTATCTAACTATCTTCAGATTTATTTGTTTGAGATTTAATCTACACACGATGTAATAAAAATCGAATTTATTTCCATGTATTTCAATGAAATCACCTTATCTTAATCATGTAAATTATATTCAGATACAATTTAAAAATTAAGTAAAATAATAAATATTCTTTATTAGAACTTTAACAGTAGAACCTCTGTAAGCCGAACTTCAAGTTTTTAAATCTTTTTGTGACGCAGAGTCGGTAGATTATCCATATTCGAAAATAATACCGTGTGTAATAGCAGTCTTAAGAAAAATAACACGTACAGCCATGCTTTCACGTCAGTCACTGCCGGCGGACAGCGACGCACTTGCTAATTGGTTGAATGCACCCCCGCCCCGCGTCCCCCAAACCATCAGGAGGGCCAAGGTTACGGCGGTTTAACTATACCTTTCACGTAACTCATGTGTCTGTAGATTCGAAAATAATAATATACCTTTAGAAAAAAATCTAAGCAGCGATGTAGCATTGTTCAAGATCATTGTTAGTTGTTTTCGATAGCCTTGCTCTCATATAAATCCATCAAGTAACTTCAAAATTACTGTGGAACTTTAATATAACGGTAGATTTATTTTTTTATGTTTCCAACCATAAAATAAATAACAAAAATAACGATAATAATTATGAGTGAGTGAGTATTTGCCTGATGACAGTATTTAAAGAAATAGCCACTTTCCGTTTATTAGGCACAGATTTCATAACCTAAGCTAATAAAAAATAAAATAGGTAAAAAAACATTTTAAGTTAGACGGTTTTATTGAAAAGAAAGATAATGATGATGTAGATAATGTACAAAGCTGAAAATTAACTAAGTAGGTCCTAGACACCAGTCATCATACCACTCTCCTCATCAATCTACGGCTTTGATTAGACGCAAACATGAAATCGTGGGGTGTATAGTATGTATAGCGTTTATATATAATATGAAATTTCTATCAACAGTTAACTACTATTGTATGATATTTCACGCGCCCGATTTTTTGTTTACATCTGATCAAAGCCGTAGATTAGAATATAGAATTTCTTTAAAGAGTTTACTCGTGGCCACGTAATTTGTCGTTCCTCAAACAATGTTGAGCATTTACTCAACTGCGTGGTTTACAGTTCTGCCTTGAATTTTGTGCATAGTTGAAGTCCATGACAAACTTAAACGCAACATCCTTCTTTTCGCCGTTACAAAATTGAATTGTAGTCACCTTGATGCAATGAAGGTCAGATAATTTTGGCATCGTCATTAAACAGAGTAAACTCTGAATTTCAATTCCTTCAGGTTCATCACCTCCAAATATTTTTTTTGATTTTGTTATTTTGTCTATGGGTTTACACCAGAAATTAATGATTATTATTATATAGTATCTTTCTTCTTCATTCAGGACAAAAAGGACCGTTACCGATAGTTAAGAAAATAACTTCAACGCGAGGAAAGTCTGAAATGGTGACAATAATAATAATACAATGATATATAATCTGCTCGACTCGACTGCTGCCTCTTCCATAAAAAAAAAAACAAAAATGTAAAATATAATTCGCTAAGTAATACGCAATATAGTGTTTTTTTTTTAAATCATGTGTTTCTATATCCAAATATACAAATGCAATCCAATAGTCAAATATAAAAATATTCGTTTACTTTTTGTCATATTTAAGAATACGAATGATTTTATATTCGAGTGGTTGTACACCTATAATTAGTGTATTGTTTTTGTACATACTATACTCGTATTCATAGCTACGGAACAAACATGTCTTTTTTCATTTTGCCTCGGTGGTGCAGTGGTAGCGTATGCGACTACCATGCTGAGATTTGGGATTCGATTAGGTACAATTAGGTGCTTCTTTGCTGACACTTAAATCAGTCGAAATCTAAGGAAACGATAACAAACAATGCTAAAAAGGATCTTTTTTTAAATTTTGTTTCTTGTAATGTTTCTTGTAAAAATATTTATTAGTCTAAAATAAAATCTAAAACACTTTTTTCATCGGTTTCGTTCAAGCTATTTTTTCGAGGTCGACCTCTTGGGTGACATGTAGAGCTGGGTTGTTGGTAATAATTCTCCTCGCTTTTTAATGCATTATAAAATGTATATGTACTGGTGGAATGCATTTAAGGAGTTCCATTAAATCTTGTAGCACTGTCTATTTTTCTATTAATAATTACTTTTGAAATAGGATCTGTAGAAATAAAAACATCTTGTTGTATTCTATGAACTCATTGTCTTCAGGGGCAAAGATATGCTGGGCTTTCTTTGAAAAAAAAAAATAATAATAAAAAATCTAAAAAAAAAAAAAAACTGCGTCATTTTCTAAGTAACTGTGCCCAGACACCATAAATTTATGATCTACCGTAGCGATGTGCGTATGGGTTACGATATACATCCACAATCTGCAAATTATTTGATTATGGTTTTAACCACCGCAACTGTCACTATATGCAACCAAGTGATTGCAGTCTTTACTAGCGACATTATTGACATACTTTAATGGACAAGAAGCTATTCCCGATGCTCCTCGAGATGCCATGTTCTTACTCCATATGTACATGTGTGCATCTCCACATTTACAGTCATGAATCCCTTAATTGTAGGTCCACTGGCGTTTGTAATACACCAGATTTGTTTGTCAGTAAGGAGTAGGCAATGTTTTTTCCAAATTGAATGTAAATAAATGATTTTTTTTATATTCTTGATACCTATGTTTACTTTCTTTTGTTCTTTCAACGTCTAATAAGTGTTTTGTTTTTTCTTCCTTAATGTTTAGCCGCTTTTCTGCATTTTCTTTACATTTGTATAGGTTCTCCAGCCTGTCACATGTATTACACGTATCACTTCGTAATTTGTAAAATCCAACATTGAATTCGTTATTAAATACTCTTCTGTATATTTTTTTCCTTAACTGGCTGTTTGCCCTCAGCAATAGCTTTTTCTTTGTAAAGAGAATACATTTTTGACAATTATTACTCAGGTGAAAGGTATATTTTAAGGGATGCACTCTCGCGTGAGTAGTTGCTTAAAATTTTGGAAAACTGTTGATGTCTTGCATGTGTCTTGCAATTTGTCTTCGTTGGTTTTATTTTTTTTACCTAATTCATGATTACCATGTTTGTCATATACCGGTAATCCTGTGATTGATTTTTTAGTGAAAGCAACGTTGGTAAATCTTCTATTAGAAATAGTCAACGTTTTCAAAAAAGTTGTTTTTGTATTAGAGTGTGCATCTATAGATTATTTGATCGAAGGATAGCACATATACGCACATACTCTTATACAAAAGAATAAAGTTAAGAGATTACGCACCTATTGCCAGCCAACGTTAAAATTTACGTCGTCTCTCGGTTGCTCCCATATCGGGTCCTGCCCCCAGGCCCAAACGTCTTGTCTCATTTTAATGAAGAAAGTGATATGGACAACAAAATTCACTATTTATCAACAAACAAAACAACGCTATTATGAGTCTGACTTGCCCCAGAGCGTTTCTTGCTTTAAATATTATTGAGCTATTTCAGTATTTTTTTTTTATTAAATAAAAGTAAATTAAGTAGGAATAAACGCTATTTGTATAAAGCTTAAAAGATGCCCAGATTACTAATTTACGCTTTTCCTAGATGAACAGATTGCTGTGCACAAATATTTCACTATCCTTTTTTGTCTCTTATATAAAAAGAAACTAGGTCTGTAACAGATAGAATACACACAAAAGGATATTATGCCAAATTTTACATTAAAAGATGAATTGGCAACGTTCTAAAATTGTAACTTTAGGCACTTCGAGCTTCTAATTTAAAAGTCCAAGTTGTACAGCGATCACATAAAAGCAAATAAGTTTTTTACTGTTGAGTTTTTAAGAATATAATAGCGATTATTAACATGAGATAAAAGAAAAGGGCTACATTCAAGATATCTACATTTAAATGCCTCGACATTCAAATCTTTAAAGGGACTCAAAAGTTTTTCTCTTAAATATCTGTTTTAATTTAAATCAATCTGAATTTAATAAAAAAATATGTGTATTGAGATGTTTCCCAACAAATAATAGCTATATATATATATATATATATAGCTACTTCAATTATGAATAATAATGGAAACCTAGAAATAAAATAATCCCAATTAGCAAGGATGAGCCATTGATCTAATTGTGGTGGCAATCTTTAAACCGCTAAAACTTTTAAAGGTCATATTAAAAGAAAGAACATTTGAAGAATATTTTACCAACCAGCTCTTCTTTGTGGTGGCGCTTAATTCTAGCCTATCACTTGATATGCTTGTTAACAACCAGAATTTAAATATAATATTTTTAGTACTACGTATTCCTAGTGTTAGCGGGTGTAACGTAGTGACGAAAGAGGTACCACATCCTATGCTACATTTTAATCCATTTGTCCGACATTAATGCAACCTTGTTCCTAAATTTCTCTCTACTTATACATTTTACCGTTATACCCAGCGAGCAGCTCTCTTTGATTTAAAATATTAGGTACTTCACGATACTTTTACTTTTAACATGTGCTACTGAATATTGATACCTACCTATTTTTGCAGCTTTTTATAAAGTTTAGACTTGGAATTAGTTGGAATTTTCATTTAAATATGACTACCAATATAATAAACTAATATACTTATATAAGTGTGACCGAAATCATCTCGATGTCTGTTTATTACGGTGAAATATAAAATAGTACATAACTCTCTTGTGTATAAGTAGTAATACTCAAGAGGGACGGACCGTCTTAAACTCTTAGTTATATCATTACACTTCTCACACACGGCCGTCTGATACCAAATTAGGCAGAGATTGTGCTATGGTAACCCGACTAGTGATAAACATACTTGTATATTTCTAAATACATATATATTTATATATTAAGTATGAAATTGCCGATCTGTACTGAAACATTTAAACTCGTTTTTTCTAGAATAGAATAGAATACTCGTAGTTTATTTGCCATTTAACGTTAGCTAACGTTTAGTCATACTGGCATTAAAAAAAAATCGGTTATCATTATAAATTGCATTAAAATGGTAAAATCAATCAAATAAAGTCACTATTTTTGGTTATAATTTTAGCATAATGTTTATAAAAACATCCATAAAATAATTAAAAAGTGTCACTAATACATGTAAAATAAAAAAAAAAAATACAACAAAATATTTAAGGCCTATCGAACAGTTCATTCAGTGATTAAAAACAGTTTTGTAAAAGCCACGATTTCAACTGTTTTTAAATTTAGGTAAATTCATTATTTTAATATTTTCTGGCAACGCGTTAAATACTTTGACATACATGGAATAACATTTTTTTATACAAAGTTGTTCTTGGTTCATAATTTAAAACCAGTCTATCTCTATGTCTTGTGTTTTGTGGAAATACATCCTTGGCTTTGATGAATACTTGTGGATGAGTTCGTACTAATACTCTAATTTCTTAAATATAAATACAAGCCAAAGTCAATACACCCAAGTTTTTAAAATATGGACGACATGACTCATAGGGCGGGATGCCTGCTATCGCCCTCACAAACTTTTTTTGGGCTAGAAACGCTCTGTTTATATCTGTAGAGTTGCCCCACACTAAAATCCTACGTTCTACTGATCCTAATTATCCATGATATGCCATTAATACTGTTTGCAGTGTTGCGATCTTACGGAGTCTTGATAAGACATATACGAATTGGTTTACTTTATTGCAGACTTCGTCTACATGTGTCTTTCAATTGCAAAACTTATCTATAGTTATACCTAAGAATTTTACATTATCAGCTACCCATATTCTGCAGTCATTGTAGACAACGTTAAGTGTCTCTTCGTGGTATCTTGTATTTAAAAATTGAATGTGTCAGTGAGTTTTACTTAAATTTACCGTTAAGTTATTACCATCCAGCCATTTGACTACATTCTTGATTGTTTCATTTATGTCTTTGTCTAGGTTTGTGCCGTGTTAGTTCCGCGTCGGAACTCGTATTCAAAAATGACTCGGATTTTCGAAGTATCCATCCTTCACGTCTCAGCTGAATAAAAAAAATGAACCTCGAATGTTGCAATTTTTAAAAAATAAGAGCCTCCTAGGTATCTATGAAAAAGTTTCACACGAAAATCTCACACTGTGAAAGTTTTATGTCAATTCAAAGTAACGGCAATTTCATATTTTAACCCCTATTATATTGTAAACAAATAACACACAGACACTTAACAAAGGATCGTGCTCATCACCTATCCTGGGGGGATAGTGCACCCCTGACTTCTGGCTTAGCAGTCATCAGATCACTAACCACTAGACCAACAGGCCCGTCATCAATGTATTATTTTTTAAGTTAATAACAAAAATATTTACTTGCAGTGCCCGAGATGACTTCATTACTTGCGTCGCGAATGCGGGGCGCTCGTGTTCAATGGCGGCAAGTACACTCCTCAGACGCATGGCGTGGGTACTAGCGCAAGACGTAGCCGCGTGCAACCAACAGCTTAGAGCTTATTGTTCAGCGCCTCCACCACCATTAACAGCACATTTACTCACCGCTATTTATGGAGTTATATTTTATCCCCTACGTTTGTAAAGAAATTTTGGTAATGTATGATATTCTATGATCAAAGCGCTTACCGGAGGCTCTGTAGAATGTGTATTTGTGAATAATGAGGCACGTGTAAGCATTTAAGAGAGTTGAGTTGTCAAAGAGGTATATTTACGTGGTAGTATAGTTAAATTGCACGCAAATATTGATATGTATATGGAATGTACCTACAAATATTATTGTTCAAAATTTTCCCTAGAAATGAAGTTACACACTTTTTCTTGCTTTCCAACTCTTGGTGATTCGGCTTGCGATATGATTTCAACTTGTAAGATCATGTACTGTTAGTTTCTTAGAAGAAACTGTATGATTAATGTTCTTTGTTCAATTTGATTAAATCACATTTAAGTTACCCCTCAATATATATATAGATTTAGATAGATTTAGAGTGAGTTACTTTAACTCTTCAAACAGAATTAAATATTAAATAAAGAATTATTAAAACAAATCTTCTAAGTAGTTTTATTAAGCTACTTTGAAAATTACCAAAATAAAATCCAAATGTTTGTGAAGGTAACGAGATCCTTTTTTTAACTTTAATAGATAAATATTTAATTTGTTGGAAAATTGTGTAGCAAGCTCTTAATCTGGTAATCTGGTTTTCTTTTTCAAATTTTAGAAGATGCTAGGTTAAAGCGTGTTATTCGTATCCATATTTTTTTTACTAGATTTAGTAATTTTAAATAGGTTATTTATGAATGAATAAACTTCAAATATTACGTAACAATTTTTAATGTAAAATTTTGTACATTATTTTATAATGTAAGAATTGTTTTTGTAAGTGCGATTAATGTACCTAATGTTTGAACCTATGAAATAAATTGTTTAAGAACTATATCTAACCTTTTTATTCTGCATATAAATTTCTGCTTTTGTTTATGCCCCTAGTATGGTCCCTCGTCAATTCATTTCACTGGCTCCCATCAAAACTTCAGTAGTCTTCAGTGTCCTGCCGCAAAGCTCTTCTCTTGCGTCTCTTGCGATTCGCTCTGCAAGTTTCACCGGTCGACCGCCAAACCGCCGCTACGCGTGGCATGCCCAATGCTTTGCCATATATTGATTTTAGTGGAAACGGATGTGGACGCGAGGGTGTATGACCGTACTCGCGCGATCCGCACCATCGCGCTGTCGATGCCGTTTTGCCTAACCTCAAAGCTTGGATAGCTGTAGGGAGGGGAGTTCGCGTCACCTACCCACTGACACAGGTACTTACTGGGCATGGCTGCTTCGGTGAGTAGGTACCTGAATCGGATTGGACGCGAAGAGACGCCACAATGACAGCACTGCACAGTCGACTGGGACTCCGCCCAGCACATTTTGGAAGACTTCTCTGCGAAGTCGGAATGCGACGTTCTGGTCGACCGAATCGGACTACACGCCAGCAATCATTACTCCTATGCTGGTATGTCAGGAGCGCTGAATCTGCCACCAGAGGTCCCATTGGAGGTACATATCGTCGCTGATAGGATAGCGGCCTGGTCGCACCAAAAATGTGGTCATGTGATGCTTCTGGCTTCTCCAGGGATTGTTATTGTATTGAGATAAATTCCAGGGAGTGTATTGAATTACTGCCAAGTAACCAAAGATATCAAAATATTATACACGCTTTCTTTATTGAACAATATTGTTGGATAATGTTACTATAATTATGTTTTTAATATAATTTCATCGTCTAAAAAAACAATTACGCCTTGTAGTTATATGTTTTAGGAGTTCTGAAATTCATGTTAGGGTTTATTACAGTAAAAAAAGTGGCAAGAAAAGTGCAACATCATAATAATAAGAATGACAACATATTTTCTTTGCGACAATATTACATGTTAAATGTTAAATATTACATAATAAAATAAATAAATAAAATATAAGTCGCAAATACATAATACCGTGCGAAAAGCGCACTAAGTGGACCGTAAATGATAAAACGGTTTGAGAGGGTCCTATGAACTGCCTGCATTAATTAACTCGAAAACTATAAAATGAAAATCTAACATTAGAGCCTTCATCTATGGACTATGGTTGGTGGGTTCATAGTATCCGCTTCAATATTCTGTTACTGTACAGTCCTTCTCACAGATATTATTCTAAAAGTTTAGCAGAGAATAAGGAGTACTTCACAGAACTAACAAAATTAGATCTGATATATAAAACATAATACATGATCCATTATTTTTCCGTAAAAGTAAATACGTAGTCATAACAGTATTCAGGCAAAAAATAATTCTGTAGATTTAGTAATCAGCTTTTACATTTCATATAAAAAACAAAACGTAGAAAATGAAACATTTAAAAGATCACGAAAATACAAACTCAAGAAAATGACTCATTAGATGCTAATTAACATTTGCAAAAAGCGCAAGACGAAACAATGAGGAAAACAACATTAGGGAGAAATTAAACAAAGACAAAAAATACGCTGAAGCAACACCTCAGGGCATAACATTTGCCATAGATACGCACTCATTGAGTTATTGATGTGTGTGTGTGTGTGTTTGCGTTTCTGTATTTACCCGTGGTGTCGGTGTGTTTGTTAGAAAGCCATTTAAACTCACTCTGAAGGTACAAAAATATGGGTTTCATTTAATCAAAAAATAATATTACATTTGTTACTAAATGGATTAAGTTGAAAATAAATGATACTGTACACCAGTGTTTTTTTTTTTAATTTTTGAAGTTTTGAGATGTAAACCGCTCCGTTACGTAATGCGTTACGGCGTCAGTCTGTTAGGCTTCCCTTTCTCTCACGCATACGGCAGCGGTGGGCAGGCTCCTTCTCTCTCACTCTAACCCACAGCGCTAGCCGTATTTCGGACAGACGCTTTACATAAAAGAACAATGGCAGAAACATATTTACCTAAAACTCAAGCGTTTAAAAACTGACTTACAGTAAACTTAATAAATATTTTTTTTATGATTTATCATTACACCACCATGCGTTGTATAAGTCTTATAAGAGATCGGATATTTTTGATGATTTTGTTTGACTAAGTACGCAATGTCAGATTCGCCATCACGTATAACCGACTAGGGATGCGTGATGGCATTATTATATCATGAAACGTTTTATCGATAATCGATTTTTATAGCTTGGGTACCTTTTATGATTATGAATTTGTTTCTGCCCACGGGTTCACTCGCACGGTAGAGTAACTAAATCAACATAATTAGAAATAATTTAGAATATTTTGCTTCTTTTTAAACGATTTTGCTAGACTAAATTAACAGAATATAGTTACGTTATTTTAACAATGTTTGCAGTTTAACAATATACTGCACAGTGTGATGAGAAAAAGACATTGTCGTTGAAAACGGCTCATAAATATGAGTATACATCGATATTTATAAAATGTCGATACGTCGCCGTTTGGATCCTGCCGCACTCATTAATCTTGTCGTTTAACACTCACACGCTTAACTTCATGACCATTGCTTACACGGCAATTCTTTGTTTTTTATTATTTTTAAATGTAGTGTTAAACTCATATAGCATATATGTTATATATAGCATATAGCATATATGTTATGTTTATATATTTTTAATTTCGTATAGTTTTTTTTAATACAACTCCCATATAAGGAATATATCATGTGTCACGGGGACTTTACAAACATACATGAAATGGACACAAAGAACACCCAGACTCAGAACAACAATTTGTAAATCGAACAAAGTGTCGTCCCATGTGGGGATCGGACCCACAACACTCAGCATATATGTTATGTTTTTATATTTTTAATTTCGTATAGTTTTTTTTAATACGACTCCCATATAAGGAATATATCATGTGTCGCGGGGACTTTACAAACATACATGAAACGGACACAAAGAACACCCAGACTCAGAACAACAATTTGTAAATCGAACAAAGTGTCGTCCCATGTGGGGATCGGACCACCAACACTCAGCGTAGTAGTGAGCGGCGTGGCGACTGCTTAAACCATTACGCCATCCGTGCAGTCCTGTATAGTCAATTCGTATAGTCTGTTATGCATGATGTGACGCCTTAGAATGTTGTGCATTTATCTCAATATAACGGATGTATGCTATAGAGTTTAGTAAATAATGTAACAACTACTAGCTCTCCAATAAATAAATAAATAAATTGCTTCTGCCTGGTGTAAATGTGTATTGAAGTACAATTATTCGAATTATTATTTTTAATTTATTTATAGCTAGTATTACACCTGCTTGATGAGAGGAGATTTTTTCTATTGTTTTACTATGTATTCGTAAAATAACCTGCACCCTTTTAGAGAGTCGGCTAACACTTTCAACAGCAAAATAGGTTTGTTTATGAGTAAAAATAAGGAGAATAATATTTTCGGTTATATCAGATACAACACCATCTAGTTTCAAACAAAACATTGACAATATGTTAGTACTTAACCTCGAAACATTCAAAATACAATATCTTTTAGTAATTTTGTTATGAGAATGGTCAAGAATAAATTCTCAAGTGTTTTAGGCATTTTTGATGTTTAAACGCTACCATTTCAGTTCAAATAAAATTATGTATGGGGACCTGCCATTGTCCTTTAAGTAATAACCTAAGCTTTTCTCAAGTTAACAATTTCAATATTAAATAGTTCAACTTAGATTAGTTTAAGTTATCACTTCTGTCGGGCGTCCCGAGACGCACACGTTTTTTTTTTACCTTAATTATATTTGTGTGGGTGTGTAAAAACTTCTGAATGTAAATGGCTTAAAGAGTTTTAGAAACAGACTTTAGTAGTCCAACGTAACTGGACAGCACAACTCTGATGTAATACAGGTGAAGAATACAGGTGAAATTTAAGGCAGTCTCATACAAACTTCTATTCCCTAGTATAAGGGGTACGGGAGTAAAAGTGTCAAGTTTTATATTTTTTGTTGTTAGCGTACTAATACGAGCTTATATACCAAATTTCAATTGGACTTCAGGAAGTACCCTAAGAATTCCCTTTCTGATCATCAGTGAGTCAGTGAGAAATCGGAGTTACTTAGATAT